AAGAAAGAAAGAAAGAAAGAAAGAAAGAAAGAAAGAAAGAAAGAAAGAAAGAAAGAAAGAAAGAAAGAAAGAAAGAAAGAAAGAAAGAAAGAGAAAGAAAGAAAGAAAGAAAGAAAGAAAGAAAGAAAGAAAGAAAGAAAGAGAAAGAAAGAAAGAAAGAAGAAACCTCCACCTTGAGAGAAGCCCAGTCCCCAGCAGCTGACTGTTGCTCCAGTCATGAATTATCCAGTTGAATCTCTCTCTTCACTCCCTTTTCTCCTGCAGAAATCCCTGCTTTTGGCTCTGTGTTATGTCCAGACTTACAGTGTCAGTGGCCAAATGCACATTTCTTGTCCAGCACTAATTCCCCACCCAGATCGTCCTGCAGAAATGCAATCTCTCATAGTAAATAATGACTTGGACAATAGAAGGGTAACCCCTGAGCTGAAACTCAATTTCCTCCCTCATTACTCAAGCATCAAAGATTGAATCTCGGAAAATTTCACTAAAAGAGGACAGTGAATGGGTGCCAACAGAACCGAGGGGAATTAATTTAAGACTTTGGATGAATATTCATGGGAAAATATTTCTGCATTGTTTGCCTAGCTCTAATTGTGTTCATTAAAGAAAAGCTTCATTAGCGAAGGCAGGAGCATATTGTTGTGCACAGCAGTGAAGAAAATATAATCCTAGAAATAGCATTTACTTTTTTTTTTTTGAACACTATGCACAGGTTTTTCAGCTACTGGTAACAAAGGAAACATTTCAGAGTTATAATGAGCTCAAATGTTCATATTAACAATTCAAATCCATAAAAGGGGTAGGCACAGTTTGAGCTTCTCACAAAACAAACAGGAGCACCAAAAATATTGGTACTGAATTTTGAGGGAAAGGGTTAGATTCTGGCAGCAGCTAATGGATAAATAATAGAATTACTGCCATGCATCAGGGTAGATGTGCATCATTGCCCAGTGATGGATGACTCCTGGGTGCCTGTGAATATGTTTCCATCCGATTGCTGAGGCACAAAAGTACAATTTCTTGTCTTGGTGCCAGCTAACAGAAGAGGGCTCTGTTTTTCAGCAAGAACACCCTCAGTCCTGCAAGCCACAAGCACACATCAACAGCCTGGCTGCACACGGGGGTGGGCTTGAGACTGGGTATTTACTGGGCAAAATCAAAGTTTGTTTCTCTGAGAAACACTCGCTCCTTTCAGTGCCATGAGCAGGGTGTCAGCATTCCCCCTGGGTCACAGCAGTGCCACAGCAAGGTCCTGCACTCCTCTGTGGGCAGTGCATCACCCCAGCAGATCTCCTCCATCCCGAGGAGAGGATCTGGAGCCAAGGCTGGAGCTGTGCCTGATTTTGGGCATTGCAGTGCTGCTGTGTGGGCTGAGTGTTTTATGGGAACTCAGCTCAGGGGACTCTGCAGATCCTTCATCAATAAACAAAGCTGATAACACTCGTCTTCTTCATGGGCCTGGGGAGATTAAACACAACAGGAGGCACTTTTACAGCCTTAAAAGCACACAGGTACCACAGTGACAGATCACCTTTGATAAACATTTGATGTGATGTCCGGGAATCCAGCCAGGGATTTTATGTAAAGCACAGTAAATTTTGACTGGAAGTGTCTGCCTCAAATGCCCTCAGCCTTAAGCCCCAAAGGTTTAAGTGAGGAGTGGCTCACTGTACCCTGCACACACCTGAGAGAGGGATAAGGGTCCTGAATCCAAATCTGCAACTCATTTATACAAAATAATTTTGCTCAGGGAGCATCATCCACTATCATTAGCAAGTTTCAAATAAATGGGATAAATGCGTTGCATTTTTTTCCTTCTCTCGCATGTTTCCCCTAGATTTATGTTCTAGTTTTCATCAACATAACGCTCACTGCAAAAAAAAGCCCATTCAAATAGCAGAGTAACATTTTTTGGAGTAGATATTTCTTCACTCTGTGTGTGTAGCTGTTATATTAATGTGCATTTTCATACTTTTATACCATTTCTGTGTGTAATAGAAATCATTCTCTCTGAAGAATGATTCAATCTTGTTTTGTTTTTTTTCCCCAAAATGGATTATTGTCTATGTAAAACAAAACCTGTCCCTACCCATGGCAGAGGGTTGGAAGAGATTTAAGGTCCCTTCAACTCAAACCACTCTGTGGTTTCTCTCCCTTCTTTCTCAGTTTTCCTGCTGAGATTCTAGATTTTGCTCTTTTTAATACATTTGCCATGTTTTTCAGGACACATTACCTTTATTTGATCACAATATTTCAGGTTATATCACTTATGCAGTAATTTGGTAGTCCTAATACCACTGTTGTTTCTCTTCCTTACAACCATCCTTGCAAACTGAACACCTCTAAAACCTCTCAGTGATACAGAATTTATCCACAACAGCCCAAAACATTCTCCTCAAATATTTATTTATTTTTAGAAAAGCTGTGAAAGGAATTTGAATAAAGACAATACAAAGCAGTGCTACTGCTTCTCCCTTAATTTCTCTCATTATTTTTCCTCACATACACAGGAGGTTTGGTCTGGAGGAATCACTCTTTCTAAGACATCAGGATTTGGTGGCAGTACCCTGACTCTGCCTGTATCCAACCCACCATTGACACAGGGCCAGCTTTCCTTCCAGCCCACCCCAGCAACAACAGCAAAAATGATTAAACTGGAACATTTTAAAATAATATTTTCTTTTACATACTCTAGCAAGTGAGAACTTCCCCCCCACCTTTTTAAAAAAACTGTATATGAGATGCCTCTGTTCAGCAGTTCCCATTCCTGACAAATGGCAAAGTTCCCACTTCAATTTATTTTTATGTGTGTGTTAAGTCATGACAGGTATCCATCCTTGCCAACTAGCTCTGGCATGAAAATAAGGAGGCCCAGGAGAATAACAGCATTTCAAGTAGTAAATAATATCAATGAAGTTTGAAAGAAAAGAAAATACAAGCCTGAACTTTCTGTAAAAGAATATCCAGCTGGAAGAAAGCATTCTGTCAGCTGCAACACAGGCTGAATTCGAGCTTTTCTAGTGGTAAGAGCCAATGAGCTACTACTAATAATGAACAAAAAACCCAGTGTGGTAGATAGAATGGAATTAATAAACCTGATATCACCGTTCTATTGGCTTCCAGAAACAAAGTCAGAAGATCCTGACCTGCAGTGCCATGTGTCCCCACAGGCACTCAATTCCCCTGCTCCCCAAAACCTGCTGGCCCTGACCAGGGTCACAGGGAAAAGCTCAGCTGGGACATGGCTCTTGCCCACTGGTGGCTTTTGCTGTGCATCCATCTGAGGAATAAACCCACCAGGGTTACAGAACAAAACGTAGAGGAAATCCTGCTGGCCCATGCCAGCCTGGACAAGTTGAAGCCTGACTCAGAAATCTGCTGAAAGCCTGAGGAAAAGTCTCGTGAAAGTAAATTTGGGGGGTTTATCTATCCCTTGGATGCTTCAGGGCACTCTTAGATGCCTTCTGACACCAGCTGTGAGGAAATCAATGAGGATGTCTACAAAATCAATTTATGAGGGGGATTTGGCTTTCTGATGCCCATTCCAGGATGTTCCACTCATCTAGGAATTAATGTTTTGTGGGAGTTAATGCACATGGCCCCCATTAATCACCAGGGGGTCACATGTGTGGAAAGAGCACAGAAAGGTTTGAATTTTGTTGGTTTGAAACACAGGTGTCTGCTAAGGAAGGCAGGGCCTCCATTGGAATGGAAAATATGACCCCACTCCCTCCAAATTATTATAACTTTGAAATTACAGGGCTTTCAGGCAAAGATGTGAGAAAAGGAATAACTGTTCTTTACTAGTGTGTGTAAATTCACACACGTGGGTGTGGTGGGTATCTGCATGGATAGTGAGAATTTCCATCTTCAAGACAACTTCTAAAATCATATTAGAGAGAAAATAAAGCAAAAATTTTGTAGGTGCTATCATGTTTGTTTTTATAGGTTTTTCCCACTAGATCTAACCTATGGACATTATGGAGCAGTTCACTCAGACAAGACCAGGTACAGGCAGCCCCAGCCTTGTCCCAGCATAATGCTCAGGTGAGAAAATCCATCAATATTGACAATATATATCCATTAATAAAAAGCAGCAATACTAAATGCTGCCATAATAATGCAAACACTGGAATTAACACATAGATTCCAGAACGCTAATTAAAGTGCATCCAGGATGAAACCCAACCTAGACATTATTAAAGACATAGAACAAGATGATGTCTACAGGAAAAAGGAAAGAAGGTTTTTCTGCTTTTACACCTGTACAGCAAAGGCATGATGAGATGGGAACTGAATGAAGGTTCCTCAAGTCTGAAATATTACCTAATCTACAGGATATTTTTCCTGACAGAATTTTCAGATGATCTTTTAGCAATGCTGTCCACCTTCCTTCATTTTTCAGCCCTATGTTCTATACAGTACATTGATTTTTGAATGTCTACTCCAAGAGCTTTCTTTGTTTAAAAAATTCTATTAAGCTCAGAATGCAGAGGGAAGGAGTCATAAGCATTAGCCAGACCATCAGAAAGAAAAAAGTTAAAAGTAATAAAGCATAAAGTGAAATAAATAATGAGGGGGTAAAATCAGATTAAATGAAGCTCAAATATACAGTCCCCTAATCTGCAGAATTTAATATAATTTATAGTCGTAATGATTCCATATTCCTTCCTTATTGAATTTCCTCTATTTAACTGATACTGATGTTGTCCCTGATGTAATTGCCCTGTATTGGTGCCATGGGAAGGAAGCTCAGCTTCAGTAGTTTTCCAGAAACAACTTCCTATTATCAAGCTTCCAGCCTCAGGAATGCAGGGATGGGCTCTCATTGCTATGCCCAGAGCCTCTGCTGCAGGAGCAGCCCCGGATCACATCCCAATGTCTTAGGGGCTTTTTATAGCTACACTGCATTTGATTTACTGCTACTCCAGAAAAACGTTGTGCTCATTACCATTGGAAGCCAAGGCACTGATATCCTTTTTGCTTTCCATGTCCCTTGTATTATTGCAATTTTAAGAGGCTCCAGTGAAAGATCATCGATGAAAAAAGATCAGACTCATATTTTCAGCTTGTAATTATCTCACTTGAAGACAGAGAGTATTTCCTGCCCACAATGTGGCTGCAGTACTCTTTTTAGTAATGATACTAAAATTTATGCAAAACACTCCTTTTTACTACAAACAAACAAACAAACAAACAAACAAACAACCTCCCAAAAAACCCAACCCACCATGAAATATTTGAGTGACTGAGTAACAGTCCTTTAAATGCTTAATACTGTGGCATATTGGTATTCCAAAGTGAATTTCAGAAACTTGAACTGCACTTGAATTGAATTAGTGTTTATCTTAGATTTACAGGAACATCTGCACCCACAAGGGAAATTATTTTGGTAATTAGAAGGCAGGCTTGCTTTTGTTTGATTAGCTGACAGGGTCAAGGATTACAAAGTAACATGCCCTGACACAAAGATTTCGATAATAAAAGACCCAAGGAAATCCATGAAACACCTTTGCACGCCTAGACTGACTCAGTTTTTAATTAGCACACCTTGACTTCATTATTACATCTTCTCTAATTTAGGATTTCTTGTCAAGAAGCCAGGAAAGGAAACCTTAGAACAGATTAACCAAAGGATCAATAGTCCATCTATTTGGATGCAATAAAGTTTATTCTAGGAAAAGTTTTCTAGGTAGTAAATGCGAAGAGAGATGATTAAAATAAAAAGTTTTCAGTTTTTACTTCTTTTCCTCTCTCAGTCATAAGATCCAGCCAACAGTCAGGGAGATCATGAAGTCGCCAGAAAGGGCACAATGATTTGGAAGGAAAGTCTTCACTCCACGGTGATTACAAGACAATGGCCCCAAAATTAAGGCCTGATGGATGCTGCAGAGGGTTTTCCACATCCTCCCTTTTCCCCTTGGAGCATCACACACGCACTGATTACATATTCACAGCTGCTACAATGGTTAGCAGTTACCAATCCCCCTTTGCAGATTTTCATTTGGCTTCAATTCACAGGCAGAGCCCATGGCTAGGAGCAAGATACACACTTCAAGGTTATTTTCAGAGCCCTCATAATTTCACCTCACATTTTGATCAAAAATTGCCTCCTATTTTTTTCAGAAGGAAAAAAACCAAAAAAGCTACTTACCTTTGGAATCGCTGATATCCTTGAAGAAATCTTTACTTTAAAAAATAATTATTATAGCAAGGTCTACACCTCGGTCTTTAAGAATAATTAGGACCTGTAGGGATTCCAAATGATATTAAGATGCATATTTATCATAGCCGAGTTAATTAACACTCTTCATTAAGGACAAAATAATTAAACTAGTCATGTTTAATGAAATTTCAGTGATAGTTGATGTCTCCAAGTAGGAAATCTAAAATACATTAGTTGGACTGATTTGTTACTAGTCAGATTTCTACTAATTAAATGTCCTTTTCCAATTTATGTTGAACTCCCTTTTCCATTTCTACTGCTGTAAAACAAAGGCCTCATAATCTCCCAGCCACTTCTTTTGGTGTTTGCAAAATTACCTGAAATTTCATACTTAAGTGCAATTTCTAGAAGAGCATTTATTTTCACATGCATATTTTGCATTAATTTTAATTATTCCTAGACATCCAAAAGCTTCTCCAGGCTGTACCAAAGCCATCTTCAATTTTAATTATTCCTAGACATCCAAAAGCTTCTCCAGGCTGTACCAAAACCATCTTCCTGCCTCTGTCCCCACTTTGGTGTTTCCTGAGCTCTCCCAGCTGTGGGATGCTCCCATGCATGTCCTTATCAGAGCACAGAATTCTGCAAGTGGGGACCATAAACTGACCCAGACAAACCTCCTCTGTCCCATCTAATATTTATTTTAATTAGGTATCAGTGTTAAAAGCAGACTCAAAGTCAACACTGCTTTGATTTCCATCAGCTCTGCACCATTTCAGGGACAGATCCTGTGGTTTCAGCCCAGGCATTTCCTCAGGAGCTCCAGTGTGGGGGTGCCCGTTGGGTTTTGCACTCCTTATTAGTGGTTTGTTATCAGTTTTGTTTGTTTTCTTTCAGAGCTAGGGTTAATAGAAACACGATTGAGGTAATTTGCGTGTTTGGGCTTGGATGTCTTATATTTTATTAGAAATTACAGAAAGTATGACAGCACTTCTAGCTTCTTCCTAGAAGTGGGGAAAAAATGGCTACAGCTGAGCCTGCTTCAAGGCCTTTTAAAGTTAAACAAACTAATAAAAGTTTAACACCTACATTATTTATTCTTTTGACTTAATAGTAGATTCCCAGGACCCTTAGAGTGACGCTGACTGACCAACCAGAGGTTACTGCCTGAGTTCCATGAAGAAGTCAGAAGAAGAACAACAAAAAAAGAAAACACTTAAAATTTTCCATTTGGTCTCATATTTACCACTATACTATAAAAACCTCAAATTTAAAACCCATCACCCAGTGAAAATACACACATCTAACCCACTAAACATTCGTGATTTTAAATTCATTATTCATATTTCCAAGGCTCCTCCAAGGTTCCAGCTCCAGAGCAGTATTTTCCAGGGGGTCTGTGCCTGGAAGCACAGAAAGCTCAAAAGCTCCAGATTCCTGAGATCCAGCACTCCAGCAATCAGCACATGCTGATCTCTGCTCTGCCTCCTTGGATGCTTCCTAAAAAAAAAAATAAAAATATCCAATTTGGAGAACGTGTAACAATTAAGCCAGAGCTGAAGAATTGCACCCTCCTCTCTGTTTTCTTTTGTTTAGAGACAGAATGAAGAAGTGATTTTCAGTCATCAGCTGACACCTTCTCTGCACAGCACTTGTGCACCATATGGAGCAGCTCCTGGCCACACCAGCATCACTGGAAGCATGGTTTGGATCCAGGGTCATTTGAGATGCAGAATTTCTCCATTCAGACAGCCTGGCTGGCCCCCTATGAATAAGCTCTGGACTCAGATCAAGGTAATTAGGACATAGATCTGGTGTGATTGTTTCTTCTTCCTCAGCTTTAAAAAGCAGTGGCCCAGCAACTGGTCATGACATGACTGCTTTACTGGAAAATCATCCCTTCAGAAAACACTGACTAGTACAAAAAATAAAATTCAATACTGCTGCAAGACAACCATTTCAGACAGGCTTATTGATCTGCTGATTATCTTTTTGTAATATACAGATATTTTGGCTTGTCACACAATGGTCATGTATCTGTTGGCTTTTAAAATCATGTTTATCTCTGTATCAGTACAAAATAGATAGAAATTACTAAATAGAGGTGCATGACATTGATTTAGTGGTTTTTACTTCAGTGTAACGGATTTGTTTTCAAGAACTTCATATATTTCAATAAAATTTTTCTCCATGGTTTAAAAATATGCTATTTCTGCCTCTCTGTTGCATGACACTAACAAATGGGCTGTGGGTACATGATACAAAGCAAATGTTTTCACAAGAATCCTTGTTCGTGCTCTTCACAGAGGAGAGAATTGCTAGCACGGTTAAAGCTGAAACACTTAAAAAAAATTAAAACCCAAAAAGTATTTAAATCATTGTTCTTGCCCAATCATTTTTGTGTCTCACCATGACTAAGGTCCCTGTGACACTGAGGGCCACTCTAAAATTTTAAAGATTTATTAAGGGATAAAAGGGACAGTATTCAGGGCTGGAGTGCCTTGCTACTGCCAGGAGCACTCCTTAGCTTAAAACAATTATCTTATCTATTTTTTTCATTACAATGGTTACATATATATTCATGAGGTTATACAAATTCAAACATTCCTGTGAATTCTTTTATATGTTCCAGGAATTCTTTTAGCTTTGTTCAACCCTTGATCCATTGTAGATTTGATTTTTGGGAGTCGTGTATGCCATTTCCTCACACTGTATATGCCATTTCCTCACAATGACAGACAGGGAATTATTGATACCCCAGAGTCAGTAGCAGGAGGTTTTTTTTCACATCCTTTTCCCGATGTTATCTGTGTGGTTCCTTCAATGTTATCTAATCACACAGACAGTTTTATGCTATTTCCACAAACTTATCTAAGTCACCATTGTCAGTTAGTTACAACAAAAATAAAAGCATGCTGCAAAAGCTAACATAGTCTCTATTTCGAAATCCTAAACTGCAATGTGTATTTATCACTCAAATGCTTGGATAAGACACTCATGGCCAGGTCACCAGCCACAGAAGCTGACAAATTATACTATACCAAAAACAGTTAAAAGTGATTACAAACTGTACTATGTCAATTTTTTTAATTTGCAAAAGGCCACACATAAAGCCAATAATTACAGCGTTATCCATAACAATACTGAGATGTGAGACCATTACTGTGGTGGTTTCCTTTGAAGGCTCCAGAGCATCCAGCAGCATGAGATGTCCCTTTATCAAATGGCAGAGTGTGAAGGGTGGTGTGTGCCACAGGAGCTGCCCAAGGCAGCTGAGATTACCTGCAGTGAGCCCAGGTTACCAAGGGCACCATCAGATTCTCTAGGGCAGGAGCTGGGGGCCCCAGTGCCAGAGGAGCACAACTGGGGACTGTCCCCTGGGCAGGGCAGCAGTGGCACAGAGCCCCTTCTACCCCTGCTGCACACACAGCAGAACGTGCACAGATTTGCTGATGGGGACACTCCCATGTCCCCTTTATTTATTGGGATGTGCCTCTGACCCTCTGTCAGGCTGAGCATTCCCTGCCTCCTCCTTACACTGCTGTCACTCAGTTCATTATCTTGATTTATTCTTTCATACACACACATATATAACCAAACAACACAGCAGGCTGGCAGTATTTTAGTGACATGGAAACCAGAGGGAGACATTAATACATGGAGATCACACATGCTGGTATTTAGCCTGAGGACTCACAAGTTCTACTGAAGCATAATATGAAAATAATAAATGCTTACAAGGGTGGCCAGGAAGGGAGAGGCTGATTAAATCAGTGCTTTGGAGAGCAGACACAGCTCTGACTCCTGATGCACCTGAGAACCTCCTTTTCATTTGTTTTCTCTATTGACAAAGCACTTCCCCTGGGCACCAGAATTACTCTCCAAGCACAGGCCTGGAAAAGAAGAAATGTCTCCACCCCTCCACCCACACTTAGACACGGAGTCTGAAAATCTGCTGCTGGGGTTGACTTTATTTCAGTCACCAAAACCCAGTTATGTTGCCAAGTGTTACCAATAAGTGACATTTTAATTATTGCCATAATAGCAACAAAACCAAGGTCACGAAGTCTCTGAGCAGCATGACATCTCCATTCAGCAGGATCCATCCCTGCCAGGGAGAAAAGTGTCACCTTAAAGGAGTTCTGGCAAAGGGGGATGGAAAGAACTGCTGCAGCTGGGAAGAATTTTTCTTCTCCCTGTTCAACACAGGACTGCACTTTGAGTCTCCTCACTCAGGTTCAGGAAATATTAATTAATTAATATTAAAATATTAATGCAGGGAACTGGGCTGGTAAAGGGACAGTCACACCACTTAGTTTTAGTTATTTCCTCCAGTGCTTTGGTTGGCACCTCTGTATCCCTGGGAGGAGCTGCTGGAGGGGTCACCTGCCTGCCTTGAGTGCAATACATAAACCTAAACAGCACAAAGTGCCCCTCCAGCTGCACTTCATGGAAAGGGACAGATTAGATAGAGATTTATAAAATAAATACAGTTTTGTCAAAGCAGTACAACATGACTTGTGATTTCATATCCCCATGTTAAAAGCAGTGACTGAAAAATCTCTTTACTTAGGATCTGATATCCAGGCACTGCACAAAGACACATTTCTTACATAGGAGAAAACTTCACCCCAATAAAACAACAGCAAAAAGCCCATGATTGGTCATGAAATTGGAGAGTGATAAATCTGAAGGTGACAAACAATCTAGAAAGGAAAATAGCCTTGGGACAGACAATTCACTGCAGCAAAGACCTGTAACAAAATATGACAAGGTGGAGAAGGAGCCTGACATCAAAAGCAGAATAAAATGATGGTGGCTCTCTGTCCCAACCTATCCTGGTAAGCTTTAAGCCACACAAACACCTCACAGCACAAACAGGCATCACCAGAGCAACAGCCCAGCCAAAGCTGAGGGGCCCTGTCCTGGCAGAACCATCCTACAAAACTAAACTGAAAATACAACATGGAAAGGCAGTGATGTACCTGTGAGGAACAGCTGTCGTTTAAAGAAACACTTTGGGCTTCACCTTCATCCCTAAGCCTAGCTCATAACTATGGGCAGAGCTCTACCCATCCAGGCTCTGCTTCCACATCCATTTGAAGTTCAGGATTATTTCCTTCACCTCCTCTCCCTCAGTTCAGGTCCTGGGTACCTCAGGCTGCCCCTGCCCCTCCTCGCTGCAGCTCTTTGTGTCATTCATGGCATCTTTGAGTTCATGGCTCTGAACTCAACATCTCATGGAGATGTTGAGGCCAGAGGAGCATCCCCAGTTTCCCCCAGTGCCAGCCCTGCAGGACCAGGGGGCTCTGCTGGCCCCAGATGTTTGCCCATGCTGCAGGAACATCCTTCTCTTCCCAGGCTTTGGGTAGCAGAGCTTTTACAGCAATCTGCAACTCCCCAGTAAGCAGCAGCAGGGCTGGATTTATTATCCTGCTCTCTGGAGAAGCAGCTCCCAGATCTTTGGGCAGACCCCATGTGGGTGGCACACCCTGTGTGAGCAAAAGGAGCCAAGTTCTGCTGAATCCACCATGATCATCCAAAAACTGCCTGGAGTGCCTGTGAGTGGCTCCAGAAGTGCCTGAGAGCCTCCCTTTATGAAGGGCCCATCCTCCTGGGACCTTGGCAGTGAGGCTGAGGAGTGGCAGCCCAGGCTCTGGGTTAATTGGGGGGACAATTACAGATTAAAGCCTGGCCCTGTGTTAATATTGTCACACCACCTGGGGTTTTATTTCCTTATGCCATAGCCTTCTCTTGGCTGTTTTGCCTTAAAAGTTCACAAATCTGGTAAACCCCAAAGATCTCTGCGGGTTTGGCACTTTCCCTGATCTCATAATATCTAACAAAGACACAGGAACAAACTGATTCTTCTCTAGACAGAATATTTTTCTCCCATGCAGTGCTTTAGTTTTTGTAGCTGAAATGCACATGGCACTGCAGCATCCTCTGTCACTCCCTAAGTCAAAACTCTTCACAGCAAGCCAGCCCAAAGAATGAATTCATATGCAAAAACTACATTATTCCTATAAGCAACTTGTGTTATGAATAAAGCCTGAAGACAGAACCCAATTCTCCATGCAAAGCCAACGTGCAAACTCCTAAATTAAAAAGAAATCTCAGGCAGGTAGAAGTGCTGCTTTGGGACCTTTCTGGTATTGCAGTTGCCAAGGAAACCTCTTCCTTTGTGCCCAGTCAAAGGCTCTGGCTGTTTGGAACCTCATCCCATCTATGCCTGAGTGTGCTGCAGCATCAGGATTGAAGGGAAACTGTTAGAAATGCTCTGATAAAAGAAAATATTCAAAATAAGGGTTTCCTCCTGAAAATATCTTTCCCTAAAGTAAAAAAAAAAAAAAAGCAAACCAAGGGCAAGGAGTAGCTGTTCTTGGGGAGCCTGGGTGTTGTGGTGGCAGACTCCCATGGCAGGTGGGGTTTCACCTTCAGAGACAGCTCTGTGTGTGTGATGCACTCCAGCAGTTAATGAATAATAAACAGCAAAAATGTAAAGGATATTTCTGACTTAAAAGTCGTGCTCCTCCCTATAGCTTTGCATCAGGAGTTAAAAGAGCTGTCAGGAAAGAAATGAAATTGATTCTTATTTCATGACTACTTTTCTTCTTGTATGTAATTACCCTCGTTCAGGGTTTTCTATGAGTTCTGTGTAGACATCAGAGGAGTCTCAAATAGAGTTGGCTCTTTTTTGTGTCTAGAACTGAATTATTTCTTGTGCTACTGATTAATTTTGTATGAGGAATAAGAAAAACAATTGCGAACCCACTAGAATGAGGAGGACATCTCTCAAACCTTGGCTTGATCTTGGTAAAACTGCTTAGTTGCTGCTAATATATTTACTTTTCTGACATTGATTTAGATTAGAATCATAGCAAAACAATCCTGTTTTAATGGATTAGCCTTCATCCCTTGATGCATTCTTAGTCTAAAATTAATAGCACCCTCAGGTTACTTTGTTTTTCTGTAAGTGGTCTGTATTAGCTACAACATATCGATGTGGCTTCAGTGCATTTAGCTTGCCCTTATTTTAGTATGGGCTGATGTAATGGTCCCCCTACATCCCTCTAAAGTCAAAGCCAGGACAGGAGATTTACAGAGCCAGGGACATGAGCAAAGTAGGAATGAAAATGATACCCAAGAATCTGAGATTTCTTTTCAAAATAAAAGGGGAGTAGAAATTAACAGTTTAAAGAAATTCATTCCACACTCTTTGGACCCGAATGACCACTTAAATCTCTTGGACATAAAGATGTGCAACAAAAGAAGTGTAACATGGAGCAGAAGAGTGTTTGAATCCACGGTGGGATTGCTGTGGGATGGATTGTGCCACGGAACAGAGTTCCATGGATCTCAATGGTTACTCTATTATAACCCAAATTATTAATCTCAGTTTACAGGACTGAGTACCATCACCAAAAAAAAAACCCTAAAAACAAACAAAAAAACCCCCACAAACAAACAAACAAACAAACAAACACCAAAACCCCAAACCAAACCAAAACAACAACAAAACCACAAAAAAAACCCAAAAAACCAACAAAAAACAAAACAAACAAAAAAAACCCCCACAAAACAAAACAAAGCCATGTGATTTGATAATTTCCAATATATCACAGGAAGGAATATTTAAAATTAATGTAAAACTGATCAGGAAAATGCATTTTTGGTAATATCAGAAATCTCCAGTAGGCATTGCCATGTGTTTTAGGGAAGGGAAGGGAAGGGAAGGGAAGGGAAGGGAAGGGAAGGGAAGGGAAGAGGAAGCAAATCGTTCCTCATTCTAAATGCCATTTGGTGTTTGAGAGTAAAAGCACTAGAACAGCAAGGAAAAACCACCCAGAATAGAGCAATTATTTCAACTTTTATTATGGAAAAGGTTCCAAAGCATTTGTAACTTCACTGGCAAGATGCAGCTGCAGACAGAAATGGTTCTTGTCTCTTCCAAAGGACAGGAGTTATGCCTTTATTGCAGCAGTTCCAGAGTGTCTGAGAGAATTTTAGGGATTATTTGTAACAGGAAACAAAATACTAGACAGCTAGTGCTAGATTAATAAAATGGAAACGTGAAAATATTTTCCAGAAGGAGCTTTTCAACTTTTGTTTATTCCTTAAGAGAAAAGCCCTATAAAAGGTAAAAACTGTTTGAAAGAGTGCCATGGATGAAGGTGAAAGGCAAGCTGGCAGCATTGCAGTTGATATAAAAATGCAGGAATGTGGCTGGAGGAGCTGCTTCCCACCAGGGGCTGGGAATCCTCTGCTTTGTCCCTCCTGTGCCAGCTCTGACAGAGCACCTTGCCTTTGCACCTGTCTGGAAATCTGAAACTCCCCCACTCATCCAAATGGATTTTCACATTCCCATAGCACCTGAGACAGACAGGAATTTCTGGAACCCCTCTAAACCAGCCCTGCCTCTGATAGCAAAGGGTTAAAATGTTTCTGAAATCGTGGGAATTGCATACAATAGGGGGTGGAAAGAAAGGTTGGGTCTGGTAGGCCTGGGAAAGGAACTGGGCCCTGGGAATGAATATTGAGCTTTGTCTTTTCTAGATCATGTGAAGCTACACCTGTGTAATCACCATATGAAAAATGATATGATTGTTAAATGTAACAATTGTTTGGTAATTGAATATAATTATTATTTAATCATAATAAGAATCATGAGAAACGATGTAATCATAACAAGAATTATGAGAAAGGATATTTGGGGGGCCTAATGAAAATTACAAGAATTCATGCTTGGATAAGATCAATGTATACAATAGAACAATATGGGTTTAATAATTAATATATAGTTATTTAACGAAAAGGGTATAAAAACATGTCCATCTCGGATCCATGTGGGAGTCAGATTTGGGTCTGCAGCCCTGATTCCCAGAGCTCTTCAATAAAAGCACCTGCATAGAATCATTCTGGGATTATGTGTTTCAAGGCTATCAGCCCTGGGCCCAGCTCTGCACCCTGAACTGGACTCAATCAGCCCAGGCTCAGGGGCTCCAGCTCTGTGTGTGTTCACCCAGCTCCAGACAAACTCAGCTCCAGACAGACCCAGCTCCACACAAACCCAGCTCCAGACAGACCCAGCTCCACACAAACCCAGCTCCAGACAGACCCTGCTCCAGACAAACCCAGCTCCAGACAAACCCATCTCCAGACAGACCCAGCTCCAGACAAACCCATCTCCAGACAGACCCAGCTCCAGACAAACCCAGCTCCAGACAGACCCAGCTCCAGACAAACCCATCTCCAGACAGACCCAGCTCCAGACAGACCCAGCTCCAGGTCACAGGGCTGCTGGCAGATCTCGTGGGCACAGGTGAAGGAGTTCTCCACAGGTTTGCCATCCTGGTGGGGCCACCCCAGAGCCTGGNACCCATCTCCAGACAGACCCAGCTCCAGACAAACCCAGCTCCAGACAGACCCAGCTCCAGACAAACCCATCTCCAGACAGACCCAGCTCCAGACAGACCCAGCTCCAGGTCACAGGGCTGCTGGCAGATCTCGTGGGCACAGGTGAAGGAGTTCTCCACAGGTTTGCCATCCTGGTGGGGCCACCCCAGAGCCTGGTGCCCATGCACAGTCCTTGGAGGAGCACAGCCAGGTCCAACCAGCCTGCTCCCATGGCAGATGACACAGCACAGTCAGAGCTGCAAAAAGGGTCTGAGCAAAAAACACGTGAGAAACCTGGAAAATAAACCCCTGAGAAATACACTTAGTAAATTTTCTAATAGTTCTATTTAAAAAAAAAAAAAGTTAATTCTATTGTTTTTCTTTTAAGGAAATTAATAACCCTGTGTAATCACAGCAGTGACCAGGTCCATCTCATGGGAAGGAAGGAGGAACTACATTAGGACTAGTCAAATCACTAAATTATTTTTTACTCTCTGCCACAGGGAAAGCACATAGTTATAAGGGAGCCATTAGCTTCTAAGGAAAAAAAAATCATGCATACCGTTCTCCTGTGCTGTCTTTCCATTTCCAGGGAAACTCTTGTCTTTTCAAGGAAACAATGTTCCTTCCAGGAAATCTGATTTCAGAGAAGTTTGATGTCATATCTCTTATTTTCTTTCTGTTCATTTCCTGGAATGATGACATGTCACAGAGCAACTACTCTTGGTACCAGCAGCAATGGCTGGAACCTTTGTTGTCAGAAATGGATAAATTGAGGAATTCTACAACTTTTCTAACTTTTTGTAAGACATTTAGAGCAAATGTCCATTGCTTCTAAAATTAGTGTCCTTGATGGAGATCCTTTGCCTGGGTATGTTTCCCTTCAGCTGCCTCTCATCTAACCTGTGTTAAGGAGACAATGATACCGTTCATGAAGACTCACATTCTGATTTTTAAAAGAAAGATTGATGCTGGTTTTCTTTTTGATCTATAAACTTCATGTGAGATGCTCAATTTAAGTAAATCAAAGGAGGAACTTCAAAGCTGGCCCTCAGGACACTTAAAAGTGTCACTGACATTTTACACGTGACAAATCTGAGGCAGAGATGCTCTGAAAAGACAATTGTAAATTGCCATTTGATTTTGCTACAATTTTGTCATCATCCTCCAGGACTGACAGGGAAAGAAGTGGGAGATCAATATGGCTCGTGGATCTCTTTACCCAATATATTGCTTTCACTTAGCTAAAGCTGATAAATACTGCAACTGAAGTGCCAAGGAGGAAAAATGAGAATCTGCAAGACTCACTGCAAATTAAAATGAAAAAGAGCAAACAAAACAGACAAAAAGATGGTTTAGGACATATTTTAACATGTGCTCAGATATCACTACTATCATCCACTATGGATGAACAGTCAGCAAAGATACAAATGTACATTTTTACCTTAGAAAATTTTTGAAAGTTATCAGTTATGTGTCATCAGTGAAGAGTGAAGAGACAGAAGAAGTGAATTGTTATCCCCTTTCTTCTCCTTTGGCATGAAACTCAGCAGCAAACCCAAACTGGAGTCTGTTCAGTTGCTATGAGCTCACTGAGCCTGACTCAAACCTCATTTCAGAGGGACATTTCTCCTCTTTGCAGGACAGGCCCCCTTGCCATTTAATGCTGTCTCTGGTTTTCCAACTGCTTTAGTTCTACCCACCTGGTTTGGTGTGGAATTACACCAGGAGCCCTCTGGTATCTGGCCAGTGCTGCTGGTGACATCTCTGCTGAGCATCAAGAGGTTTAATGTCAGCAGGAGCTGTGCAGCAGCCGTGGGAGGATATTGCCAAAATGCTCCACACCAGCTGCTCTCCTTCCCAGCCAGCAGCAAATTAGGTTTAAACCATGTTTCAGTTTAATCAAATGGACAACACTCCTACAATGTATTGCTTTCTGAAAATAGCTGAAGTGACCATTATGTTTTATGCTAACTGCTAAAACATTATGGATGCATTATACAGTTAGAGTCCAGTAAATAAGGATTTCCACACGTGTTTATCTGATTGAGCTCATC